TTTGCACGCGAGAAAGGTACCAGATCTAGGCACCTTGTCAACAATTGCCCTGAGCTACGTCATTAATCATTTCAAGCAAGACAGCTAACGCTTTAAGAAACTTCCACACTGCACTCGCTACAAACAAACACACACACACACACACACACACACACACACACACACACACACACACGCACGGGGCCACTGCAAGGCACAAAATGAGCAACTGACACGGCTTGTGACACTGCAGATTTTGTTGCAGGTTCTGGAGCACAAGTCTCATGTAGCTCTGTGAGCAACACATAGGCAACACCTATTGCGCAAATCCACAGGCCAATGTGACACTGCAGATTTTGTTGCAGGTTCTGGAGCACAAGTCTCATGTAGCTCTGTGAGCAACACATAGGCAACACCTATTGCGCAAATCCACAGGCCAATGGCACGTGCCAGCAATAGCCGCTGAAGGCAATACCAGAACAACAACGACTGCTTGTAATAAAAACTAATTGGCAATTGGCTACCTTGCAGAAGAAGCAACCACCACTGGCACTGGTTGCACCTCACACCTTCTTGCAACTGCCGCTGCTTGGGCCACATCCGAGTGTCATGAAGAACTTGGTTCGCCACCAGTCTCCGCCTTGCAAGAGTTTAAGTGGCGCATTCAAGCAGACTGTATACACCCTGAAGCTGCAACAATTGTGGTGGCCTCTCAATTGCACAAGACAGTATGTGGCTCAAGCAACAAGGAGACTTCAAAGACATAGATCCACGCCAGGATGCAGTACATGATGTGCTGAGAAACTCCCGGGTCATTGAAGCAGTCCTTCTTCATGACCAAAGCATGGCCGCGGGGAATCATCCTTTTGCCACCTCACATGGCGCGTGATGTCAAATCCAGCCTTTGGGGCTTCTTATGCAGGGCAAAGCCGGCCAAGCTACCCAGAATCGACAGCAATGTGGATTTTCCGGCGCCATTTGCTCCAACCACCAGGATGCGAGCTCCACGCTCGAAGCTGAAGGATATGTTCTTCAGCTGCGGGCTGCCACCAGCCTCAAGCTTCGGTCGGAGGCGCTGTTTGCCAGAGCCATGAAGGAACAATGGGGCGCTACATCTTTGACGGCAAAGAAGCATAGGCATAGGTGAGGCTGTTGCATTCCAGAACTGGTCCTTCAACATGGTCAACTACAGGACCAGGGGCGGCCAAATCCTGCAATGGGAGGCTGGCACGCAGGCATGCAGGCACAAAGGAATGCATGCAGAGCAAGCAGCACCCAGTGGTGCAAGTTGAGCGTTCTGTCACTCTGAATTGCTGGTTTCAGTGCTTCTCCTGGGCGCTCCGAGCTTATCCTTGTCTACCTACCGGTCTTTAGGCAAGTAGCTGAAGTGGGGCCTGCGAGCAGTGGCATCATGAGTAGCATGGTTAATTTTGCAGGCCCTTGTCGCTTGCCGGCCCTTGGCTTCCCGTCCCCCGCGTCCTGCTCCATTGCCCCGCCATAGCTCTGAACAATCCATTCCTTCATGAGGGCATACAACGGGCAGCGGGTGCCCTTGGCCACAAGCTCGTGGAACTCATGCAGTTCCTGAGCGGCACACTTGCTCACAGCATCAGCCTGCAAAGATGATCGAAATGTGACAAACATGCGTTGGCTTCAAATCCTGCTACTTCGCACTTGGACAAGCCAAGGCTCGGCCATTGAACAGCACCGCTGCACTTTTCCAGCTGAAAAGAAAATCAAGTGTGTCGCCCATTCTGCCAGGTGGTCAAAGATGTGCGTTGCATAAAAAATAGTCCTGACAGCAATGCATGGTGTTTGGCTTACCCTTGCCTTCACAAACTTTAGCTCCGCTCCCCTCGCTATACACCGAGGCGGCGCCGCAAATCGAACCCAAAAAAAGCCAATGGACCAAAATGCGCTCCCCCACCCTTCCGCCACCAATCCCACACCTCAAGACCAAGTGCAGCCCCGAAACGCACCCTTCTCTTCAGATTCTTTGCGCAAGAAGCGCAGCAAGCCTTCCCGCGCATACAGATCCAAGTCCTGACAGTACCCCGCACGGATGTTGGTTGCACCAAGCCGTGACTCACAGACCAAATGAGGCAAAGCTAAAAATGCCGAGCTGGCCGTGGTGATTTCGTCCAAAATGTAGACCTGCGAACTTTCCCTTCGCTGTGCCATGGGCGCGGCAAGCCCACCCATCAACCCTCAAAGCCCCAGCTTCTGTTAGTGGTGACCGCATTGGGTTCTTGCTTGGCTCGTCTCAATGCCCACCTGGCATCATGCCTGGCATCACTGCCCGCAGTCCAACTCTTCTGTCAGCCTGCCTGTTTCTCCTCAGCCAGGCACTCGAGCAGCTGGCACCTCAGTGCTCTGAGTGCCTCCAAAGTCAGGCGGTGCTCCCGCCTTCGCCTTTGTCCATCGCTGATGGCATTGATATGCCAGGAAGTGTTAATCTGCCTTGGGCAGATCCAACAGCGTGGTGCAAAAGACCCTCAAGCTCTCCACCTAACAGGAAGCCAAGCTGCATGATGTCAATTAATTCCTGCACCCGCGAAGTATGCAACAGTTTCTCGCCGACCAGCTCTGCGACGGTGATATTGAAAAAGAAGTCGGTACGCCACCAATCACCGCCTGGAAACTATTACCCAGGCGCAACCACACCGCCACTCTCCGTGCACTGACAGGTGACGTGAGCTATTCCTCGTGCGCTTGCTTCTGGACACTTGAGGCTCTGGCAGTACATGCGCTGCAAGTTCAGTGTGGAATCGTGGAACACCGGCTTGCCGAGAATCGTGCAGTCCTTGATTTCCGGCCCGTTCTGCCATTCTGACAGCCTTTTGCGTGCAGGAACGCAAACGGTTCGCTGGTGAGATCCGCACACTTCTGGGTACCATCTTCTTCCCCCCCATGATCGACAGAAGTGTGGACTTCCCGGCGCCGTTGCCTCCGAATCGAGAGTCGAAATATGCAACTCTCGACGTTTTGACACTCCCTGGCTGGGAAGCCACAGCTCTATCGCCTACCTAGTATTACAGCTCAAACACATGCATCATTGGATCGTGAGCGAGAGCTGGCCTCCAACTACTAGAACACGACATCCCTGCCCAAAGCTGCAATTGACATCAATGAGCTTCCTGAGGCAAGGCATCCAAGCAAGATGCGCACAAAGTGTATAGCAAGGTCAATTAGCAGAGAGTTAAACGTAAAACCCCTTCAACAATTCGCCCGTTCATGGTCACTTGAGATTGGGCCATGTCCAATTCATTGGCTGTGAGTCGGCTCGCTCAGCTTTCTGTCATGAACCGTGGCTCCACCTCCATAGCCTCGGATATCTTCGGCCAGAGCTTTACAAAGCAAATGTGCGCGGCTGAATGCTGCATGCATGGCAGCTGACCAATGCGTGGTCAAACGAGTGGCAGAAAGTCAGCTTCGTGCAGTTCAAGGACAGGTCCTGCACAACTGGTCAGTACAAAATGTTTTGGAGGCTCATCATGTGTTTATGTTGTTCGCATCTTGTCAGCGACCCCGAACCTCCAATTCCAAGATCTATCTTGGCAAAATGGTTGATTGTCGGGGCCGTTCAACAAGCTCGCCTGATACTTGCTGATAGCACCCTTGTCTCTGACATTCTGTGGAGCACGCAACAGCACAAGAGCTGAGACGCCTAAATTAGCAGGTCTCGGTCAAGAGTCAAGACTGTCCTGAGCTTCTGCGGTGTTCTACACGCGTGTCAAAAGTTCTCTACAAGATCCTCCTTTTCAGTGCTCCCAACCAGAAATGAACTTCAACGTGCTGGCATGCATGCCAACCTGCACAGCCCTGAGCCGCGAGAGCTTGTGAAGGCCACGCCCCGTAAAAAATCAACTCGAAATCCAGATTCGTTCAAATCGTGGAGAATTGGAGAATGCAAATCGGAATCTTGAAAAGCTTGGCTGGGTCTTAGAGCAGCCTCCTGTGGAAACACCCGTGTCCTAGCCATGCTGCTTTACTGAATAAGTATCTCAAAGATTAGGCAGAATCGTTTCGTTTGCGCAGGCTGGCGAGTTCCTGCGCATGTCATCAAAACTCTCGGCAATTAGCTCCAGCTTCGGTCTCAGCTGATCCGACGAATGGTTGGGACGGTGCCGCGAACTCTGTGAAACAAATGCCGTGTATGAGGATTAGCTCGGGCAGGCCACTCAACTATGCAACAAAACTCTGCTTAAGTGCGGAAAGCTTACCGTACTGCGTCCTGCTGCTTTTGACGAAGGATGCAAAGGGTTCATTGAACCGCGCTGCATAGATTCTAGGCAATTCGTCAGCAGCAGCCATCACATGGTTTGTGCCTTCAGATTGTCCACGCTGGCCTCCTTTCTCTCGGTGATGGGCCGGTCTGCACCAGCAATCTCGCTGATGGCCACGCCAGTTGCATCAACTTCGACCCCCGATTTGTAGGAACCCATGGCACCTGGCTCAAAAAAGTCGGGCAGGCACCAACTGGGCAAAGACAGGCGCACGTATGTTGCTGAGGCAAAGCCACCTACCCTTTCCATGAATTCACATTTGTGAAAGCCCAACAAGTGCAAATTTGTAATCGCAGCGCTGCGCTGACATGCGCTGACATGAGCTCATGTCCATGCATCTTAGCTCTGGCCTGGCCATGGTGTCTGCCAAACAAATACAGAGAAACACAAAAAACAACCTGCACTGCTCCATGAAACAAACAGTTGAAATTGTAAATTGGACCTTCATACCCACAAACACACACATGATACTTGTCAACTGCCGTCTTAAAACACTTCCAGGTTCACGCGTTCCCGACTGAGGCTGAGCCCTGCACCGGGCTTCTGCCAAATAAGCAAAAGCAGTTCCAAAAGCGGCTTGAATCAAAATGGCAGCACCGAAGACGTGTGTAAAACCAAGCGTGCATCGATATTTACAAAAAGACTTTGGATTCTCCCGGACTGACAAGTTGTTGGCTGTGCAGCAATGCCGCATTCAATGGCAATGATGCTCAATGCGCAATGCATATGACGTGCCTAAACGAGCACAAAACCTCAGATCCCCGAATATGCTGATCTAAGGGCTACAGCATGCAGTCAGCGTCAGGCTTATCACATCATCGAGCAGTCCGAGCTCTTGTCATTTCTGTGGTTTGAGTGAGGCCGTGACGAGTCTGAGAAATGATGACAATTTTTGGTCAGCACCTTGGCGTGCTTTTGCAAAACAAAGATCCACAATAGGCGGGAACTGCACTGTAACCACCCACAAAAGCACGAGCTCCCCCAAGGCTGCTGCATGGTAGTCTCTGCCCTTCCAATCTCGCTTCATGTCCTCATGCAAGTTGCCAACATGCGCCAAGCGTTCCGCCTGCACGCAGTTTTGTACGCGCGCGTATTTGTTCAATGCGTGCAGCAGTTCAAGAGAGACATTGTTGCGCACAAAACATGATGAACAACAAAAAAGAAAGGTGTGGAGAAGCAAACGCGGTTCTGGCCTTTTCGCGCAAAGAGTTCCCACGTGGAAAGGCGTGTGGTTGGTAAGTGCTTGGCGGGTTCCCTGGCTCCCTGGCTATCTGCACGGCTGGCCCGCAATGGCAGGGCCGCGCGGCGCTCGCAAGCAAGCTAACTGGCAAGCCAGCAAACAAGCAAAGGCACCAACAAGCAAAGTAGCCAGAGCCGCGGCTCGCAAGCATGCACACACGCAAACCCGCCACATCGGGCAGACACACACACACACAAAACCACGCCTGCGCAGGTGCGGCCGCACACAGTATAGTAAAAAGTTTCCTTCAGTTAAGGCACGACACGGAGATCAGTTTTGTTCCGGCCCTCAGGCAAGAACTGTGATGTAAATTGTAAGTTTTGCTATCCATCTGTGCTTTCGTCACTGCGTCTCTGTTTGTCTGCCAGCCTCTGCCGCTCTTTCGTCATGCAGTTTACTTGTCTTTGTTTGCTTGTTTGCTGCTGCTTCTGCCTGCTGCTGCTGGCTTCAGTTTGCATTTGCTTGTTCTGTTTCCTGGCTTCTGCTGGCTTGCGCTGGTTTCTGCTGGCTTCTGCTTCTTCTTGCTGATTCTTGCTTGTGCTTGCTTGCTTGCGCGCTTGGTTGCTAGATTGCTTGCTTGCTTGCCTGCATGCCTGCATGCCTGCTTGCTTGGCGCGCTGGCTTGCTCGTTGGCTCGCTTGCTTGCTTGCTGGCTGGCCAGCATGCCTTTGCTTGTGTCCGTCTGCTTTGCGTGCGTCCGTCTGCGTGCTTGTGTTTTCTGTTTTGTGTCGCGCTTTTGTGCCTTCACTTGTTCGGCAATTGGCTTGTTTCTGTGTCTGCGTGTGCGCTTACTTCGTTCTGTCGCGATTCGTTGCCGCATTGTCACTGATTTTCTTATTTGTTTGCAGATGTTTGTCCTTTTTCGTCTGCTTGTGCGATTGCTCTGCTTGCACGGTTGCTCGTTTGTTCTTTCGTCCGTTGGTGTGTGTGTGTGTGTTCGCGCGTGCTTGTTTGCGTCTGTTTGCGTTTGTCTTGTTTGCCTGCTTGCCTTCTTGCTTGTTTGCCTATACACTTGTTTGTTTGTTTGTTTGTTTGTTTGTGTGTGTGTGTGTGTGTTTGTTTGCGCGCTTGGTCGCTTGCTTCGGCACTTGCTCGCTTGTTCCTTTGTTCCTTTCTTTCTCCCGTCCTTTATGTATTTCTCCTTTTTCCTCTGATTCCTTTGCTTGGCTATTTCTCGTTTCGCTTTTTTCCTGTTTGTTTCATTTACTTTCTGTTTGTCTTGTCGCTTCCTTGCTTGCTTGTATAGTTTCTCGTCCTTCCTTGCATTTTTCATGCCACTGTTTGTTGCTTCCTTCCTGTCTTTCTTCCTTTCTTTCTCCCTTCCTTTCCTGATATGTTCCTTTCCTTTATCCCCTGAGACAAAGAACCAAAGAAAAACAGAAACAATGGAAGTAGTAAAGCAAGAGCCGAAGAACAAGCAAAGAAACGAAAAAGGGACAACACAAAAAAAAAGCAATTACAGGAACAACGAAAACAAAGGCAAAGCGCAGCAAGAAAGAAACAAAAGAGATAAGTTTGTTTGAGTTGCGTCTGCTTGTTTCTTTGCCTCTTTCGTCGGCTTGTCTTGCGCTCTCCCTCTCTCTCTCTCCCCTCTCTCTCTCTCGCTTGTTTGTCTGCATGTCTGCGCGTTTGTGTTTGTTGCGTTTGTTTGCCGCTACCTCGGCTCCTGGCTCCTTTGCGAAAGGGCACCTATTCGGGCCCTGGCCTTTGCCAATTTTCAAGGGGAATGGTATGAAGGTGTGTTGTCTGGGCCCCCCAAGACTCCCCAGACTTGGCCTAGGATCGCTGGGACCCAGCGGCTAGTCCAGGATTTGGGTCGCCTTTGGTTTTTGGGCCCCCCTACAAGTCCCTGGCCCTTATTTGCAAAGTTCAAGGACTTGTTTGGTTACACAGCTTCCTTGAAGTTGCATGTGACTCAACTGCGCTCGTGCTTGGCTTGTGTTTGCTGCTTTGGGCATTTGCATGGACAGCATCATAGTGGCAAGCCTCTTGTGCTATTGATCATGCGGGATTTGAAGCGGTGGCTAAAAGCAGCGATATCTAAAAGAATATCTGGGAAGCATTGATTGCTGCCGCGCGGCGCCTTCAATGAAGGAGCACATGTGGCATCAAGAGGCTTGGTTGCAGTTCTTAAAACAGAAGATTCTACGCGTGTTGGTTGTGTGCCCAGTGGAGTGTAGTATTCTCATGGCTTGCCTTTTGCATCATACTTTCCATTTGAAGGTTGGGCCAATCTGTGTGTGGCATCTGCCTGCTACTGGTTAGCATGGAGAGTTTGGCTAACACCAGACATGGGTACCTCACTTCAGCGCACTGTCTTTTCCATCAAAAACGGTGTTTTCACGCAGCGCAGATATCCATGCTCCACCGTGTGTTTTTGCAGTTCACCAGAAGATCGGCGGTCTGCTCTGCTCTCCACTCACATTTCCTGCAATATGCCCATTGCGGGCATGCCAGCCCCCAAATGACCTACCAGCCGTGTGTGCAAGCGTGCGCGCGTGCGCGCGCATGTGTGTGTGTGTGTGTGTGCGTGCGCGCGCGAGCCTGCGTGCGTGCAAGTGCGCGTGTGCGCTTGCGCGTGTGCGCTTGCGCGCGTGCGCTCGTGTGCACGCGCGTGCGTCTGCGTCTGCACGCGCGCGTGTGCGTGTGCGCGTGCGTGTTTCTGTGTCTGTGTCTGTGTCGGCTTGTGTGTCTGTGGCTGTGTCTGTATCGATTTCTGTGTCTGTGTCTGTGTCCGCGTGCGTGCGTGCGTGCGCTCGCACAGGTGCGCGCTTGCGTGCGTGGGTTTGTGTGTGCGTGCGTGTGTCTGTGTGTTCGTTTGTGTGTTTTCACACAAACACACAAACACAAAACACACACACACACACACACACACGAGAAAAAACACAGCAAATGCACACACGCACACCCAAACACAAACACAAACACAAACAGACACTCCGCACAGCTGAACGCGTGTGAAATCAAAACTTGCTCTCTTTGTTGGCAATCTCAGGCCTAAATCTATACCAAGGCCACGCTGCGCGCGCCGTACCCTGCTTCAGGGTGGGCGGGTAGGGCCATTGAAATTTTTGGAGCCTCGTGCCGATATTCTTCGGCATTCGGCGCAACTCCGTGTCACTCTGTGCACTTCGTAGCACAACACGACACTCCGCACAGCTGAATGCATGTGAAATCAAAACTTTCTTTTCTGTCCCCGAAAGCATCGCGAAGGGTTCTTCCGTGCGGGGCCCGTGGACAAGTTACACAGAGCCAAGTTGCACAGAGCCAAGTTGCACAGAGCCAAGTTACATAGAGCCAAGTTACATAGAACAAAGTTACATAGAGCCAAGTTACATAGAGCCAAGTTACATAGAGCCAAGTTACAAGAGCCAAGTTACATAGAGCCAAGTTACATAGAGCCAAGTTACATAGAGCCAAGTTACACCAAGTTACATAGAGCCAAGTTACATAGAGCTTAAGTTACATAGAGCCAAGTTACACAGAGCCAAGTGGCACAGAGCCAAGTTACACAGAGCCAAGTGGCACAGAGCCAAGTGGCACAGAGCCAAGTGGCACAGAGCCAACAGAGCCAAGTGGCACAGAGCCAAGTGGCACAGAGCCAAGTGGCACAGAGCCAAGTGGCACAGAGCCAAGTGCCACAGAGCCAAGTGCCACAGAGCCAAGTGGCACAGGGCCAAGTGGCACAGAGCCAAGTGGCACAGAGCCAAGTGGCACAGAGCCAAGGTTAGGTAGAGCTTGCCCAGAGCTCCGGCGTAAGCAGCTATGTAAGTTAGTTTAGGTTTCTAAGGCGCCGGGGCGGGAGTTTGATGTCTCGTGGCTCGCGCGCCTGCTTTCGCAATCCCGCGGTCGCGGGTTCGATTCCCCCCTGGTCCGCGGCAGCTCCGGCTTGAAAATCGCAGCTTTTAAGTACAAACGTAGTACCTGCAGCCCCGGCTGGAAAATCGCAACTTTTAAGTACAGACATAGTATGCGGAGCGTGCTCCCGCAGCTCCGGCTGAAAAATCGCAACTTTTAAGTACAGACGTAGTATGCGGAGCGTGCTCCCGCAGCTCCGGCTGGAAAATCGCAACTTTTAAGTACAAAAATAGTAGGCGAAGTACATTCGCACAGCTCCGGCACTTGCGCAGAGCAACTTGCGCAGAGTCACTTGCGCAGAGCAACTTGCGCTCTGCGAATTGCACAGAGCAGTTGCACAAAGCACTTGCGCAGAGCAACTTGCACAGACCAACTTGCACAGAGCACATGCGCAAAGCGCTTGCACGGAGCAACTGGCGCAGAGCACTTGCGCAGAGCAACTTGCTCAGAGCACTTGCACACAGCAACCTGCACAGAGCACATGCGCAAGCGCTTGCACGGAGCAACTGGCGCAGAGCAACTTGCACAGACCAACTTGCGCAGAGCACATGCGCAAAGCGCTTGCACGGAGCAACTGGCGCAGAGCACTGCGCAGAGCAACTTGCGAGCACTTGCGCAGAGCAACTTGCACAGAGCACTTGCGTGCAGCAGCTTGCAGAGAGCAACTTGCGCGCAGCAGCCTGGAACAATGCAGCTTGCGCAGACCACTTTCGTGAGAAATCGCGCGGCGCAGTTCGAGAGGAAACTAGGATGATGAGATGGAGCTCTCGTGTGACCATACACATTGAGCATCGCCGCGTGCAGACACGCTCGCCGCAGCAATGTAAAAAGGTGTCTCCGCGGCTGAATGAGCACCTGGGGAAAAATGCTTTCGGGCCAATCGTCCTCTAGTTGGCAATCTCAGGGCTCCGGTCGCTGCAGCAGTCATGGCC